CCCATTCTATTTCCGCAAGAAGAATGTCCGGCTCCCTCACGCCGCATTTACTCACTCTCAGTTTTTTTGAATCCTCTGTTGCCGCGTACAGACCTTGGCAGTATTCCCTCCATCGTTCTAGCACCTTGTATCGATCTGTGATGATAGCTCCCGTATCATCCTCCAATGTCCAGCTCTTGATCTTAATGTCCTTTGTCAGTGACTTGACTTTACAGAACATGTCTTTTGTATATGCCCTGTTGGATGACTTCTCGATCTCCTGACACACTCTGTCCACTTCTGCATCCTTGTCCTTACGGCAGAGTCTTTGGACAGTTCTGTGCAGCTCGCGGTAGTGCCTTCTATCATCTTCAGTGCTTAGACCATTTTCTTTTAAGGTTCTGCGGCGCAGGACGGCGGACCAGGTCTCCTGGCTCATCCAGTCAGGTCTACTACGTGGACCCCGGCGTTGTTGTACAATGATCTCCGCAGCGTCTATTACGGCTGTTTTTAGTCTGACCCACATATCATTGGCTGATTCTGTTGAATCCGTCTCCATTTCTAAAAGCCTAGAGTGCATGTCCTGCCTGAACTGCGATATTGCATCAGCGTGCATGTGCAGTGCCTTGTTGTTACTGGCTTTATGGACGACTTTGAGCCGGGCTTTAAACTCCGCAACCAGCAACTGATGGTCGCTTCCGCAGTCCGCCCCGGGTAGTGTCTTGGCATTAGTAATGGACGAGCGCCATCTGGTGTCAATTAACACGTAGTCAATTTGGTTTCAGTATGCACCTCCTGGTGACATCCACGTGTACAGCCTCCGTGGATGTTGCTTGAACCAAGTATTCATGATGGTGAATTGGTTACCTATGCAGAATTGCAGAAGCATTTCTCCTCTCTCATTGCGGACCCCCAAACCGTGCTTTCCTACTGTTTGGTTAAGGTGTGTATCGTGCGTAGTTTCTCCCACTTTTGCATTAAAATCGCCCAGCAGGACGGTAGTCTCCTTCCTCGGTCTCACACGGCAGGCTGTCTCAAGCTTTGCGTAGAAATCAGAGATTTCCTCCTCCGTACACTCGGTTGTAGGCGCATGCACCTGGACGATGTTCAGCGGGTGGGCACCAATTTTAATCCTGATTATTCTGTCATCAATTGCCTCATAACCTAGTACACAGTCCCTCAGGTTCTTTGCAACAATAAACCCAACTCCATTGTTGCTCCTTTCACCGTTACCAGCAAGGAATCCCTGGTAACCATCTCCGATAGAAAACGATAAAAAAATTTCTTATCGTTTTTAATACGGTTAGTGAATCGTTTATTTACGGTACTCTATCAGAAACTCACGTTACAAAATACTTGGAATCTTATCGTAAATGTCTTCTCAGCTGCACATCAGTTTCTATCGTTTTTAATATGGTTAATGAATCGTTTATTTACGGTACTCTATCAGAAACTCACGTTACAAAATACTTGGAATCCTATCGTAAATATCTTATCAGCTATATATCAGTTTCTATCGTTTTTAATATAATTACCCAGATAGCACAGCTGATCTTTATGAATTCAAAAAGATCTGAATCTGATCTTTATGAATTCATAAAGATCAACTGTGCTATCTGGGTAGTGAATCGTTTATTTACTTGGGAGGTGCTTTTCAGGTGCTCCCAAATTAGTACAAAATGCGGATAAATATTATAGCTTGTTAAAGTGTCATAGTAACTATTATAAGAATTTCATGAATAATAAAGAGGTACATGTATATGAAAGGTGCATATTTAGCGGAATTGTGCTCCACACTGCAGCGTATAATAAAACTATTAAAACGAACGATTCTCTGTAGTACAATTAGACGATGATACAATTATTAAAATATTAAGTTTTATTATTGTAAATAAATGTTGCTTTGTCGTTTGTAAAGTTTTGACAACCATGCCTGCGGTCTATAATCAATTAAGAATAAATCATATGTTACAAGTTACTAGCGAAGCACAAGATGAAAAAATAATTCCGATTCAGCTGATAAAACGTGAACTTGTGGTCGTCGAAATAAAATGTGACAAATTTCTTTGTACAATGCCGAACCAATTTGAAACATTATAACTATATATTAATATATCACTTTAATTATTAGTTAAAAAAACAAAATGTATCTGTTCATAATTCTTCATATTTGTACACTTTTATAAAATATATTTCTAATAAATTAAGATTAATTACAGACTGGCGTTTAATTTATTATTAAAAATTCCGTGGAAGTTTATCTAACATATAGTTAAAATTATTTTTCATAATTTTCTATAAAAAAGTATCAAAATTGATTCAGCTCTTCTGGCGTAAAAACAGAACGCGTAGAAATTAGTATATTCAACTTAATTTTTCATAAAAATCCATAGCTTTCTGTGAAAAAGTATAAAAAATTGTAGTTATTCATAGTTTTTCATATATCTGAATTATTAGATGTATGAAAATCGAAAAATTTCTATGAATACCCAGCACGCATGTCCAAAAGCGGGACATAAGACGTCTAAAAAGCATCTAAAAGACGTGTTATGTCCCGATTTTGGACTTGGTGCTGTCTGGGTATTCACAAAATATGATTTTCATAGAAATTTTTTCCGTCTGCTGCTTCTAAACAATTCGGTTAATATCGTTGATATACGATAGATAACGATTAGCTGCCGTACAGAAGATGATTGTCAGTCGGAAAATTCTGATAAGAAACGATAGATGTGTCGGTTCGGTTAAGTCGTATAAATATCGACGAGATGTCTATCGTATTAACCTTATAAAAACATATGCAAAGTAGAAGGTTTTCAAACGATTCAATTTATATCATTAATATACG